TTGAAATGTGCAAGTTGGCAACAGTACTGGTACCAAAGAGTGTGAGCCAGGTGTGATGGCTCACACCTGTAATCCCAGCACTTGGGAGGCTGAGGCAGGAGGATAACTGTGAGTTCGAGACCAGCCTGGGCTACGCAGTGAGTTCCAGGTCAGTCTCAAGTACATAGAGATACCCTGTCTCAAAAAAAAAAAAAAAAAAAAAAAAAAAAAAAAAAAAAAAAGAGTGTGGTTGTGTCCTCTGTTTACATAACCTGTGTAGTACTGAATCCCTGACCAAGAGGGGCTTCCTGAGAAGAGTACCATCGTTTTTTTCCCCTTAACATAGACAACCTGTGATGTGAGTTTTTTTTAAAGGGCTTTATGTGAACTATGATATTGTAATTTTTGTAAGCATCTTCAAAGGGGTAGCAAATTTGTTTATATACTAATCCTGATCAGAAAAATATTCATTAGATTTTAACTGAATGGATCAGTTCCTTCTAATCAATTGTACAGTAAGGACAAAATACTAACTTAATATGTATTGACTTTAAATTGCTATGTATTTTTAAATTGCCAAGAAAAATAAACCATTTTGTATACTTGAAGCTTAAAAAAAAAGAATAACTTTTTCAGTGAAGAATGGTGACTCCTCACCTGTCCAAGCCAGATATGATGGTGCACGCCTCTAACACCAGCACTCTGGGAGGCTGAGGCAGGAGTATCACAAGCTCGAGTGCAGCATGGGCAACTCAATGACTTAGCAAGACTTTGTCTCCAAATTAAACATGCAACAAAACAAAATAATCACACACAGAAAAAACCCAAAGTGGATGCAGCTCAGTGAGAATACGTGGGTTCAATCCTCAGTACCACACACACACACACACACACACACACACACACACACAAAGACCTCATCAAATGCTACTCTGCTGCTCTAACAAATCTGGGCACACTTGCAGACTTGAATTAAAAGAGAGACTGAGTACTTTGTTAAAGATGTCCAGGGAGGCTCAGTGCATAAAACTCAAAGAAAATGGAGAGAGAGAGAGAGAGAGAGAGAGAGAGAGAGAGAGAGTCAAAGAAAAGGGAGAGAGAGAGAGAGAGAGAGAGAGAGAGAGAGAGGGAGAGGGAGAGGGAGAGGGAGAGAGAGGTGGGGAGATTTCTAAACTTCTTTTTCCATTTCATATGAAGCTTCAGACAATTCCAAAAATATTGGCCCACAGTGACTATAAAATCTCCCATTAATGCTCTTCTAAAGTAAGGGAAAAGCCTGCGAGGTGCTTACAACTCAAAACACTTCTTTTACATGCTCATAGGAAAATGATCTTTCTCTCCAAGCCCTGTAGCTGACGGAAATTAATGAAACACATCAGGAGGCACCTCCACTGGCCACCGGCCATTGCTCATTGGAATGCCCCAGTGAGGCTTCATGGTGGCAGAGCTGCTTCCTCTGGCTTTCACAATTTTTTGTTTTACATAAATAGCAACTGGGGTAAAATCCCTGATTCAGGTGGAGTAGCTTCAAGATAATGGACATCTCTTTCCTGATTCTTCTAAAAACATGAAGAGGAAACTACAGAAGTGGGTACCTGAAGAAAGCTGGTATTTCAAGGCTCATCTGAAAAGTGAGTGGGAATGGCAGAAAAGAAGGAAGAAACTTCCAGACCTCTGACGGCTTTTCTGCTAATATAGCACAGTCTTTAAAAAAAAAGCATAAGAGACCTAGAATAGCAAAAGCCATCCCAGGCAACAGACACATGGCAGCGGGTATAACAATTCCCAATTTGAAACTATACTACAAAGCCACTGTGATAAAAAGCAGCATGGTACTGGCAAAGAAACAGATCTGAGGATCAGTGGAACAGATTGGAAGACACAAAAACAACTCCAGATGCACTCAGCTACCTCATCTTTGACAAAGAAGCTGACAGACCCCACTGGAGGAAAGATAGCCTCTTTAATAAATGATGTGGAAAAACTGGATCTCAACCTGCCAAAGATTAAAACTAGACCCTTATCTCTCACCACGCACTAAATTAAAATCCAAGTGGATTAAAGATCTAAATATAAAAATAAAAACACTAAACTTGCTGGAAGATAAGTTAGGCAGAGCTCTGGAAGACATTGGCATAGGAAAAGACTTTATGAACAAATCTTCAGTAGCACGGGAACTAGCAGATAGAATCAACAACTGGGATCTCATCTTATTAAAAAGCTTCTGCACTACAAAAGAAACCATCAACAGAACTAAGAGACAACCTATAATGTGAGAAAAAACTTTTTACCAGTTGCTCCTCAGACAAAGGACTATTATCTAAAATATATAAAGAACACAAAACAACCAGCCCCCCCCCAAATATAAAGACCCAATTCTAAAATGGGCATCTGAAATGAACAGACACTTCTCAGACAAAGAAATAAAAGCAGCAAGTAAATATATGAAAAAATGCTCCACATCACTGGTCATTCGAGAGATGCAGATGAAAACAACACTGAGATTTCACCTCACCCGACAAAGAATGGCCGCTATTAACAAATCACACAATAACAAATGTTGGCGAGGTTGTGGGGAGAAAGGAACCCTTCTCCATTGTTGGTGGGAGTGCAGACTGGTGCAATCACTATGGAAATCAATATGGAGATACCTCAAAGAAGAGGTACCATTTGACCCAGCCATCCCTCCGTTGGGTATCTTTCCAAAAGAATTAAAAGAATCATACCACAGTGACACATGCACACCCATGTTTATATCAGCACAGTTTGTAATAGCTAAAACTTGGAAACAGCCCATCTGCCCATCAGTTGGAAACTGGATAAAGAAGATGTGGTTTTTCTATAAAATGGAATACTACTTAGCCATAAAGAATGAGAAAGTAGATTCATTCATAGGGAAATGGGTACATTTTGAGGATATACTCCTAAGTGAAATAAATAAGTCACACATACGTTTCTCTAGTGTGAAAAACTAAAAGAGTATTCAAGATCCTAATGGGTCAATTAGCAAATAGGAAGAAAAGGACCAAGGGTGTAGGGACAGTGAGAAGGATAGGGAAAGGGGAATAAGGGTAAAGGAAAAAAAAATATGAGAAAATGTAAAAATGGAATTAAAGTGTTTGAAGGCTGTGAGGGGAGGAGTGGGTGGAGGGAGGGTGGGGACAAGGGGAAAAAATGAGAACCAAGACCTGGCATGTAAAGGTACAAGATCCCAGTAATGAATGTAACTGTACTGTCTACCTAGAATGTACCAATAAACTCAATTTAAATTAAAAAAAGCATGCGTTTCTGCTAAAGAAGAACTAAAGGAACGAGAAAGAAAAAGAAGAGCGAAGAGAAGAAAGAACAAAGTTAAGGCATTTTAAAACCCCTGTTTCTTTCCTGCCACACAGTTTCCACTTCCTTCTATAAATCAGGATTGTGAATTTCTCACCCGATGTGCATATCCCGTTTTCTAGATATATATCTTTGCCTGTCCTACAGCCCTCAAACTTAGTAAGTCACAGCTTGCTTGTCCCACAGCTACTCATACTCAGTGAGTCATAATCTAAGCTCATCCTCCTTTTCTCTGGATCCCAAAATAGTCTTCTTCTCTGGGGCACGTTCCTACCCCTTTGAGAAATATGGGAACACTAATGCTATCAGAGAATCATTTCTTTCTTTTTACTTCTTTCTCCAGCCTCGACTTATTTCTGTTTGGGGTGGGGTTCAGCAAGTTAGGAAAAGGCACTTTTACTAATCATTAGGGGACAACTTCCAGCAAATAAACTGTAGGTTTAGAACTTGCATGTAATCATCTATCCTTCTACTCAGTCACTAATAATATTTGTTAAATGACTACTGTATACAAACCTACTCTAATGTGCAGGACATATAAAAGGCACATGCTCTAATTTCAAAAATGATGATGTCAAAGGGAAACGTAAGCACTACATAAAGGACTGCACTACACTGTAGAAAATCCAAACACTGTGGGAGTTTGGGAAAGGAGAATCATAAAGACAATGTACAATAAAATAAAAATCAAGGTATTTAAAAACAATGATGGTGTTACAGGCTGCGGTGTTCCTCTCAAATTCACACACTGAAGTCCTAACCCTTGGTACCTCAGATCGAAATCACATTTGAGGGAAGATCTTTAAACAGGTGATTAAGTTAAAAATGAGGTCTTTGGGGTGAGTCTAATCCAATATGGCCAGAGTCTTTTACAAGAAGAGGAAATTCAGACACAGAGGGAGACACCTGGCAGGAAGACAAAGATGCACAGAAGGATGACTCCGTGGAGACACAGAGAGAAGGCAGCCATTTTGCAAGATACCTAGGAAGAAACAAAGTCTGCCCAGACTCTAGAACTAAGATAAAATAATCTGTTTTTAAACTCAGTCTGTAGAATTTTTCTGTGGCAGCCTAAGTACACTAATGTAAAGAACAATTTATACAATCCTGGAACAATAATTGCCTGAGAATGGTGCTAAATTGAAAATCTTTTTTCCCTATAGCAGCCAATTTAAGCAAATTTGTGAACAAGTGAAGCTTCCTGTGGTTTTTCTCCACCCTCTATCTTCAGAACCCCCTTTCTGTTTCCCAGTTGATCTTTCTGTTAGTGTATGGTCTCCCCCTAGGTGAGCGGGACTAGCTGAAAGAAAGGGGTGCTTATTGCTCCTGAACGCACTAACATTTGCACAAATATAAGCTTATTTTCCCTGGAGAGTATGGTAATCATCTCTTTATTTCTCAAAGTCATCAGCAGTATTTAGAAGAAGTATTGATGAGGGATTATTTCAAGGTATTTCATATGTGGGGAAATACAATACAAATAAAGCAGAAAGTCAGATTATCAAACAGGAAAACAATTTCTCCAAAATTTGATCGATTCTAACTGATGAACTGGTAAATAAACTAAGAAAGTCATGGCAGTGAGGCTGGTTTCTCATCATAGACTTTTAGGTGCAAACATTTAGAAAACCAAGCAGAGGAATTGCTAAGAGCAGAGCCCAGAGAAAAACATAAATTCTACTCACAGTTAAGTAGTCAGATGCTCACTTCTGATCCTTCTGAGGACCACCAAATCCTGCAGATTGGATGATCTGGAAATCTTTTATCAATACCTGTGACAAAGGAAAGATAACAACCTAAGTAAGTAGAATGAATTTTGGTGAACGTGACCAACATATTTTAAAATATCATTTCTCTCCCAGGTACCACAGTTAATTGGGACATTAATTGGAAAATAGGCATGAGATAGAAATAGCTAGTGCATATTTGCAATTAAAGAAAATAAATACAGCTATTATTATAGAGTCAACACTTAAACTATTCAAATAATTAGAGAGGAAGTTTCATAGTTATGCAAATACTTGGACAAGGCTAATATTTATTTGTCTAGCTTCTCCTTTCCTGCTCCTAGTTCCTCCAATATTTTTATTTTAACATTTGGGAACTAATAAAAGGAAAATAGAGGAAGCTAATGGTGTAAATGGGGGGAAAACAAACAACTTTGTGTTCTGTTGCATTTGTGTATATCCATGACTACCTTGTTGGTGAGAGAGAAGAAAGGAGTTAAAAGAGAAAACATAAAGTTAATGGTAAAGTGACTAAAAGTAGAATTTGTCTTCTGACAACTCTTTTCTTTTAATTTCAGACTTATGGCTTAAGGGCCAGGAAGTTGATGAAACTTGTACTCCCTGTTTTAAGATCTTAAGTTACTTTGCAACTTCACATAGATGCCAGTGAACCATTCCTCACTTTATCTGTTCAAGCCATGGCTGTTCATAAATTGCCCAATGCATAGCTTCTGGCTGACCTAGCACAGGAGCAGTTGCCAAAGTTCCCTGCAGGCCAAGCTAAGTCTAGACCAGACATGGTAAGGAAGGAAACCCAAGGTGAAGGAAGGCAAAAAGAGGGAGGGAGCTAGACACATTAAGCTTATGAGCCTGTCTTCCTTCCCCAGTCCCATTCCAGCCAGTGGCAAATAGCCAGCTGCTGTTTATTGCTCTTTTGACTTAACCATCTACTCAGACATGGGAAGAAATAGGTTTTATATGAAAATATTCAGTATGAGAGAATCAATGCGGAACAAAAGCAAAGGAAGAATTCTGTCCTTCTGATCAGATTGTTGGCTCTCCAAGAGTAGTGATTTTCTTGGAGCCCTCAGGAAATCTCCAGGTAAAGCCACTCAGTAGCATCAACAACAGTAATTAGCATTTTATCTGGGTTACAGTGGACAAATATTGCCAATACTAACTTTCAAAAACTGGTTACAATGATTCTTTAAGATGTAAACATAGATGTTCTCAGAAGGCACCGTTTTCCAAACAGATGCCTAGGGATTAGAAGGGGAAGAGTCTCAAATGATAACTTACTGAAGCAGTCAGTCATTGCAAAGGTTAAATTAGGGATCCGTTATAAAAATAGATGACTTTATGTTAACAACAACAATAAATTAAAGAATTTAATTAATTTAAAAATTTACCTTTTGAGGTTAAACTAGGACCTCTTGATTTCAACATTACTATGCCTGTGAGATAATTCCTGTTTCATAATATGCTGTGCATGCATCATGGAAGTAACAAAGCCAGAACCATGTGTTTTGTGACCGTGATGTTTGTTCAAGTTATTCAGAACCTAGGGGATTCAGGGTTCAGATATCATTAACAGGGAACACTGTTCCAAAAGATGTTCTGAACATAGGGGTCCTATGAAAAAATGGTCCTGAAATGTGACATGGTGGTGGTTGATGGCCTGTCCTGCCCATGGAGAAGAGTGCCAGTGATGCACATGGCCATCTTGGACACAGTGCCCAGGAGAGCGGAAGTTCCCCACTCCCTGTTCACTTGGTCATGAGCTTCTTTCAGTTTTCTGTGTTGGACAATAAGGCAGAATATTTCCTAATAATTGAAAAATGAAAAGCTACAGGACATAATCTTTGGAATGGGAAAGGAATGGTAAGTAGCTATTTCAGTCATAGTTGGCAGGGAGTCAAGTCATATGATTTGTGGGGATGAATATTAAAATGAAATATTTAAAATAGGTCCATGGATTTTAGTCAAAATGAGCCAGGGACAATAAAACATTAATAACTGTCTCTGTTTTACATTTATAGTTGCATATGGGGGCTCAGACTATGTTAGAAGGGTGAAAATATGTGATCTTAGGAAATTTGGGTCATTTAAATAACTACTAATGAGTGCATTGACCTTGAACAAGTCATTTAACCATTTCTGTTTTCTCAGTTCCTTCAGCTATGATATGAAGCATTTGGAATAGATTCTTAAGATCCCTTCAACTTAGATGGTTTATGTATAATGCTGTGATCTTTTAAGCAAAAATGTTTTCTGTGTGTCTCAGTATCTGCGAATGACCATATGGCTATGGGTAACTCATCATCCAAATTTCCCCTTTACAGCATCTAACAGGTATTCAAGGACAATATTGCTTTTCAGGGCTATCTCCTTATATCCCTTCTCCATCATTTCTAAGAAGTGAATGTATTTTATAGCTCTGAGAGAGATGATGATATAAAACATGATAGTATCTGTGATTACTGTGCGGCTACTATGTGCAAGGTACCTGATTTATTATCTCATTACACTTCCCCAGGAAACAATTGTTTTTAAAATAATCCTCCTCATTTAGAAGGAAACAGGCTCAGATTCATTGCATCACAGTTGGTCAGTGATAGAGTTGGAATTAAAACCCAGTTTTGGCCTACTCCATAGCTACCAACACAGATTCTTTTGAGAGCTACTACAAAAATATGATTGAGGGTTTCAATGAGATTAATGAAGGTAGGTAGACTGACTTAAGTATCTGCCTTTAATGTAATAGAGTGTGGCAGTCCAATACTGTCATTTGGAACATCAATAAGATCTGGATAAAATTCTAAAAGAACCTAAAATGTATTTGAAAGTGTCAGAATGCTGCTACAACAACCCACATTCTGAAGGGAAGAAACACATTGGAGCAATGACCTCTCATTCAATAATTTTCTCTCACAGCATTTGCTGTCTACATGATACAAAAGACAATATGGGAGAACAGAAGGTAAAACAAAATGTTTCTGAGAAACAGCAACATTTCTCCCACAGCTGAGCAGGACAACCTTAGAGTTCCAGAAGAAAGGACCACTTTAGGGTTGATGAAGCTATTGTGTATCTTATTTGTGGATTGACAACAATGCAGAACTGTACACTAAAAAAGTAAAACTTACTGTGTATGAATTATACCTTGCTAAAACATGGAAACAAAAAAGAAGAGGAAGAGGAGAAAGAAGGAATTGTCTAGGGGTATAATTTCAGTTAGGACCTGTGGAATGTTCATCCACAAAAAGGGTGTAAATTAGAGGTTGATGGAGTCATATAAAGCATCCGATGAGTTACAGATCACCTCATTCTATTCAATTATAAGGCATTTTCCAACTCTATTAAATTATCAAAAGATAAAATATCCCCTATTTGGAGGAAAGTAATATCATCTAGCACCTCTCTTGGATATCCATATGGGAAAAAGGAAAACAAACTTCTGTTTAACACCATATCCCTGAAGTAATTTCAGATTGATTGTAGAACTAAATGTGAAACCTATACATTAAAACTTTCAGGGAAAAATGTGGAAGCTATTTCCACAATCTTGGGATAGGTAGAGATTTTGTGAATAGGGTGTAAAGAACAAAAATAGAAATAGTACTGCACTAAAATTAACAACCACAGTGACAACAAAAAGCTCAGCCATATAGTGATAAGAATAGCAGTAATGCACAAATATGACAAAGAAAATGTATAAAGAATATATAAAGAATTTCCACAAATCAGTAAGAAAAAGGTAGATGATCCAGTAGAAAAGCAGATGAAGATTTTAATTGGCGCTTCACAAAAGAAGATATGAAAATGGCCAACAAGCATATGAAGAGGTACTCAGTGTCATTAATCATTGCAAAAATTCAAATTGAAATTACAGTAAGCTAGAACTACACAACACTAGAATAGCTAAAATTTAGAAGACTAATATGTAATTTAAAGCATTAGTGAGCAACTGGAAGACTTATACCCTGTTGTGGGGATGTAAACTGGAAGATGACTTGCGAAAAAGATTTGGCAGTAGGGGTTGGAGCTGATTATTTGTATAGATTATGACCTAGAAATCTTAGCCCTAGTCATCTATTAGTACGCTATATCCCAGCATGCTGATACCCACAAACTAGAAATAATCTTAATATTTATCAACAGCAAAATAAATTGTGCTAAGCAAACAATGAAATACCATATATCAGTTAAAATGATCTAAGTATCGGTCAGGCTGTCAACCTCCGAAATAATGGCCGACACACCAAAGTACTATTATGTGATTCCATTAGTATAAAATTTATATATAGGCATAGCTAATGTTTGGTATAGAAAGCAGAGTAACGGTAATCCTGAGGCAGCGAAGATGTCGAGCAGGGGAGAATGTGACTCTATGGGGGAATGGAGACCCCCGGGGTGCTACTAATAGTCTTCTATTTCTTGATCAGGATGCTGAATACACAGTTATGCTTACCTTGTGAAAATTTATCAGGTTGTACAATTATGATTTGTGTATTTTTTTGTCTATACATCATTGAAGGGATTCTTTATATAACATGTGCCTAGAAAAAGATGACGTCTTAATCCGAAAAGATGACAACTAAAGGGAATTTATGAGCTCACAATATGTAAAATCATGAAGGTTCCATATCTCTGGTTATCTGTTGCACCAGTAGAAAAATAAAATAATAGAAAGACAAACAATGAGAGAAAACAATAAGGTAATACAAATCAATGTACTCTGCAGAAGGAAAACCAGAGTTGAGAAGGCTGGGATCAATTTGGCGAGTTATTTCTAAATTAAAAGTCAACACTGGATTATTTACCAGTGACTCTGTGAACTTTCCATATATATATTTTGGCTTACAACATCACAGAAGGGAAATATTGAATGTTTTTGCAAGTGGCCCATACCAAAACAATTCAAGTACAGGAACTACTTATCATATTAGGATGCTGTGAAACTTTAGTCTATGCAGCCCCTTGCTCAGAGTCTGCTGTTTCTCCTGCTCACATTCTAACATCCATGTTCTTGAACCTATTTTTGC